ATGGAGTTAAGCTTAGTATGGTGTAGCTACTAGTGGTATTCTTGATGAGATTCGAGAAGGTCAAGAATCTGGTTTGAGTTGGTAAATTGGTTGAATTTGATGAATTAAAGTCGAAGGGTCGAATTGCAGATTGATGAAAATGGTATCAGGAGATGTCGTGATAAAGTTTGTGTTTCAGATATTGTTGAGTTGGGATAAGAGTATTCTTGAGGAAGGACATTTAAGTGGATTGAGTATCCGTCCCGGTGCTATGAAGATGTAACCGAATTTGAGGAAATTGTTTAGTGGCCATAGATGGAGAGAGAAGTGGTTGAAGTTGTGTATGCTGGTTAGGCTTGTGGAAAGTCAAAGTTTGAACATCAGAGACTGTTGGACCTGATGCAACTGTGAACATTTCTGAATGGAAGGGGATAATATTTCTATGGATTTTGTGTCGGGTTGCCGAAGACTGTGAGATGAATATGATTCGCTTTGGGAATGATGGATGGATTGATTAGCTCAGCTCATCTCTTACTAATGAGGAGTAATCGTTCTATGTTGAAGCTAACTATGATGTATATTGAGGAAGTTGTGAGGTTGTACGAGATACCGTCGAGTGTTGTGTCGGGTAAAGATCGGAGATCTTCATCGAGGTCTTGGGAGAATTTGCCAACACTTTGGGTAACATGTTGAGATTGAGTTCTGTCTATCATCCGCAGGCGGATGGACAGACAGAGAGAACTATCCAGTCTATAGAGGATTTGCTGAGAGCTTGTGTGTTGGATCGAGGTGGATCGTGGGATAGTTATTTTCCGATGGTTGAGTTTACCTGCAATTACAGATATCATTCTAGTATCAGAATGACACGGTATGAGGATTTGTATGGTGGGAGGTGTAGGACTTCTTTGTGTTGATATGAGTTAGGTGAGAGTCTTGTTCTCGGACCTGAGATTGTGCAAGAGACAACTGAGAAGATCAAGGGGATCTAAGGAAAAACGTGTTTTGAGAGTTACGATGGTAACTGGTGTTGGCCAAGCTTTGGAGTCTCGAGAGCTCACACCGTGTTTTGTGGTCTGTATCAGAGTGGCGCAGCGGAAGCGTGGGAGAAGTGGCATGTTAGACTGTTTTACCGTTGTCGCTTGTGAAAATTGTTGGATGTGTTTTATGTGTCTAAGTTAAGGAAGCACTTTGATTCAGATGGACGATGTACAAGTGGGAGGTAACTTGACTGTTGAAGCGTTGCCTGTTCGAATTGATGAACGAGAAGCAACTATAAGGTAAAGGGATTGCCTTGGAAGAGGTAATTTTGGGAGGACCAACTAGAGAAAGTTGGATTTGGGAACTTGGAGATCAGATGAGGGAGTCGTATTCGACTCTGTTTTCTTGAGGTAATTTTTGAGGACGAAAATTCTTTTAAGTGGGGGAGAGTTGTAACACTCTAAATTTAATTGGAGTATTTTAATTAATTATTTAATTAAGAGTATTCGTTTTCGGTGAGTTTCGGATGGTTGGTGAATTATTAAGAAAATGTGCATTTTTGGGTATTTATTTAATTAATAGCATATAATATTAATTTATTAGTATTATTATTAATTAAATTGAAATAAGGGAAATAAGGGCAATTTGGGCGATTGAAGGAGTTAGTGAGGATATTATGGGAAAAGCCCAAATTGTGAGATTTAACAAAATAGAATTCTAAAGGGAATTGGGATTCATTTGTTAACCGTGAAAAGAGTGGAGGCCAGAGCTATGAGGAGGGAGAATTGGAGGCAAAAGCTTCGGAAGATTCCAGGAGTAATCGTGAAGGCTGTGAATCGGCAAAGGTATGGGGAGTATTGTTTTTCATAGTTTTCTATGTATGATTTTCGGTATATTTGTGGTTGATGTAAGGTTTAGGGATTTGGAATTAATTGTGGGAAATAGAGAAGTAATCGTAAGATTCTGAGAGGATGGCCAAATGGCCAAATGGTATGTATCGTTGAATATTAACATAAAATTTGTAGAAAAACTTAGGCCTTTATGGCAAAACCCGTAGGATTAGTGGTCAATATTTCTGACTGTCTGATATGTAATTGTGGGAAACCTTAAGCCTTCGTGGCAAAAAGCTTGACATTGTTATATGTCTGACCCTGAAGGGATTAAATATTGGATAGTAAGTAATTTTAATGCCGTAGGATGTAATTGAAGGAAAAATTGTGACATGTTGTCCGTATAGGAATAAGAATATTCAAATGTGAGTAACTCTGAAGTACTCAGAGTAATTGCAGGAAATAGTGTTTTAGGCGTTGCAAATGTTGCCAGATGAGCCTAATAAACCATAGAAGTTGTGTTGTTATTGCCGTATAACCTTAGGAATGTTTTAGTGATATTTTGGATACATTGAGTGAGTGATTCGTAAGAATAATTGAGTAAAAATCAGTTCCGGAGCGTAACAGCGTCTTTCTGTCCGTCACGACTGTTCATGTTTTCGGTCGAAATTGTTTTGGACGTAACTTTGGATCCGTAAGTCCGTTTTGACCCCCATTCAAAGCGTTGGAAAGCTAATGAACAGAGCTATAACATAGGATAGATAATGGAATTATTTTCCCAATATTTTTATATCTAATTATGTTTGAGAAGTCAATTGTGTATATGTTTTAGTAACGAATCATGTTCTGGTTCAATGATGTCTTGATGTTTTGATTCTGTGATTTCTGTGATGGGTTGCTGTGATTATGACGGTGGGTTTTGCGTGAGATGTACATGATGTTAAGATGATTTCTACGATGTATTGATTGAATTAATTTGATGAAATTACTATGAACTGACGAGCTAATATGTGATTTATACGTGATTATATGATGACATGATGTGTGAGATTAATTACTATGATGAACTATGATGATATGTTTTATGATGAGTAATATGATGAATTATGATGATATGCTATATGATGATTAATGTGATGAGATATGATGATATGTTGTATAATGATGATTACTATGATGAGATAAGATAACATGATGTATGATGATGATTGTTACGATGAACTATGATGACATGATTTATGATGATGAATATGACGATGAGATATGACGTGTAATGATGATGAATATGATGAATGATGATGCACCATATGCTGTTATTATGAGGACTATTGTGAAGTGTGCATCATGCATTCATGTGCATCCGGACTTCGGTTCAGGACCTCGATTACTTTGGCTTCAATCCCACTGTGTGGATGTGAAGTATTTTGATGTGCTCTGATCCTATTGATGGGGATCTATGGAGGGTTGATGACCCAGTGTCCATCGCGCTGTGATGATTGGTACCACATGCATTGAGTCTATGTTGCATTTGCATTTATGAGCCTTTGTGTATAAATTATGACGTTGTGACCTTTGAGGCATATTTAAAGGATATCAATGTGTTGAATATAACTATGAGTAATATGTTGTTTATGCATTAATTTTTATACATTGATTATTATGAATTGTCTTACTCACCCTGCTTGTTTGAATGTAACGTGCAGATGAGAAGTTTAGCCGTGCCGCCGTCGGGGAGTATTGTGAAGTTTAGAGTCGTTAGCCTTTATGGTTAATGTAGAGGGTCTTGGTTTGTTTGGGTTCTTTGAGTTAATTGTATATCATTAGGTTATTTTACTGATGTTCCTTTATAAGGAAAACATTGAGTTATGTTTGTTTTGAGTATGAGGGATGTATGTTGAGAAAACCCGTGACTAACTTTGTTGACTTTGAGAAATGTACACACTTTTGTGCCTTTTTAATGAAGTTAATATTTTACTCTGAAATTCGTGTTAGCCGTAATATCTGTGGGATAGAATAAGAGTGTTACAAAAGACATTTAAAAAACTTTACTCATTAATTTAATATCGAATCTATCCGGGAGGAGGAAGATCGAATCTCCAAGACGTGGGCCGTTACTTTATGACGTGTCCCTGCGTGAGGGACACGTAGAGAACGTGGGGGAAGGTCCGAAGAGCTCCCCGAGCAGGCTGGACTTTGACCGACGATGGGGAAGAAAAAGGTTGTATGCCCGACAGGGGGACGATGGGGAAGAAAAAGGTTGTATGCCCGACAGGGGGAAGGTTGTGCCCGACAAGTCTTCTGCCCGTCAGCGTGGTCCTATTGGGGTCAACCCTAGTAGGATTTGAGTCTGTTTGGTTGTGGGTCAAGCGTCGACCTAATTCAGAACAATTATAATTTTATAATTTTAGAAAAATATTAAAATAGCATAGAAATAAATTGTTTGCCATAAAAATAAATATTCAAAATTTCATAAATATATTATATTTTTAAAAATAAAAAATATCTAAATATAATTTGTCACTTGCCATGAAAATAAGTATCCAAAGTTCATAAATAAATTATATTCTTTATAATAAAAATAAAAATATCTAAATAATATGTCAAGCTGTTGTATATGGACTTATTTGAGAGCCTCCCACACAAAGACATTTAAAAAACTTTACTCATTAATTTAAGATCGTAATTTATGATTGCCATGAAAATAAGTATCCAAAGTTCATAAATAAATTATATTCTTTATAATAAAAATAAAAATAAAAATATCTAAATAATATGTCTAGCTGTTGTATATGGACTTATTTGAGAGCCTCCCACGCAAAGACATTTAAAAAACTTTACTCATTAATTTAAGATCGTAATTTATGACCGTACATCACAAAATTAATAGATCGGGCTCACGTTTCAATAACAGCGTGGCAAGTATATCCTCCGAATATTAAGAAGAAACTTTCACTTCAGAATAAATAATTTATATTATATTTCAAAGTCTTAGACTAGAGATTTTTAAATAAATATTCAGAATAAAAGAAACATTAAATTATCAAAACAAAAAATAAAAAATGCTAATCAAAGCTGAAACCAAAATTTCAATTTTTATTGATCAAAACTGAAAACTAAATCTCCAAAAAAGAGTACTCTCCTCAGGAGAGAAGCTATGCTATAGCTACAACAGAGTAGCTTAAATAACTGGCACACAATTTAAAACTTGATTGGTCAATGGGTAGAAATCTTCAAATTCAGAGACTTGTTGAACCAAGCCTTCCAACTTCCACCTCTGCTCCGTGAAACCACTTCACTCTCATTGACACCTCCATTTCCAGGAGTAGACCCTTCTAGCTGGGGCTTCTTGCATAGCATGAAATTTCTAGCTCCAACTGATCCAATTGTGATCCATGGTCTCAAAGCTGCAAAAAATCATCAATCAAACAGAATACACCATTCAAAACTCTTACACATTCAATTAAATTCACATAAATTAAACCAAAACACATTCAATTAAATTCACATAAATTAAACCAAAAATCATAAAAATTAGAAATTACCATCAGATCCAGCCAGTGGACAATAAAGAGCAAAAGTTCTGATATCTCCTCCAAGAACCGGAAGTCTCCCTTCCCGAGCATAAGCCTTTAGAGCAGTATCAATAACTGCCGCAACAAGTTCCTCCTCCTTCACAACGAACCGTATCGGTCCGGCGCTTCCAAACACATTGATACTTATCAAAAGCCTCCTAGCATTGTCGTTTTTCTTAGTCTTTTTCATCAACATCTTTTTGATCAACAAAAAAATCACCGATCCGGATCGATCAAACAAGTCCAAAACTGAATCTCGAAAAAAGTAACAGAAAACAAAATCGGTTTTGGGGAAAGTTTCTCAGGGGTCGACGCCAAGGCAGCGGTAGTACCAGCCTTGTTTGCAAGAGCCGAAAGCGAAAGCAGATGAATCTGAAACTGGAAGGAGAATAGCGCTCGCTCTCAATGAAAAATGAGAGCGCATGAAATCAAAATCGCTTAGGGTTTCTACCATTCACAACGAAGAAACGAACGAGTTTGGTGATCGGGGCAATAGAGAAAAAGGTTGTTTTGATTTGTGAGAGGTAATGTTAAGCAAAGGCTCGTTTATATATATGGGTTTGCAAGCTTAGGGTTCGGAAGAAATTGTTTAGACTTAAGTAAATCTTTAATTTGTTATTTAAATTTTAAATATGTTTGTTTTAAAATACCCGAAGAAAAAGATATATAGTTTCAAAACCATTGAACAACTTATATTCTGTTGAATAATATTTTAATTTAAAAAATATTTTAATAATTTAATAAGTTTGTATTTTTTATTGTATGATACACTCATAAAAGATTCATTTTAAATTTGAATTTATTTAAAAATTCTTTTAGGAGTGAGGAGCGCTGAAATATCGAATTATTTTGTTTTATTTTTGGTGTAATCCTATGATTTAGTCGAGTTATTAGCACAATTTATTGTTGTTGACCAAATAGACCTCATAATCGGTTTGTTGTGTCTACTAGAAGGTTGTTCCGAGAAACAACAATACTTTGTTTTGCAACGTGTGAGAATTCGAATCGTGTTAGGTAAGGGTCTTCAATTTGAAGCCCAACATGAGGTGCGTATTCTTTTTGGATGGTCCAATATAATAGCGAATATGCTGGTAAATTTTAATAATTAAATTATATTTTTATTGGTCTTAAATTGGAGATGCGTTTAAAATACAATCAAGCTTAACTATGATAATTTATTTGATATTAGAGGGGATCTCACCATTAAGAAAACCAAGTACTACACATAAAGACACTGTATAAGGATTATTCAACTAAATAACTATCGTTTTGTCCATGGGAGGATGCTCTTAATAGAGTTTATATACTAATATTTGAATAGAAATAGTGGCATTATGTGGGTGGGCAACAAGATCTAATGAGACAATGGAAGAATCTAATTATTAATATACATATTAATTTATATATTAGTTAGTATTTTATGGAGAGAAACGTATACTACTTCAGTACTTCATTCATATATATATATATATATATATATATATATATATATATATATATATATATATATATATATATATATATATATATATATATATATATATATATATATATATATATATATATATATATATATATATATATATATATATATATTAGAAGTAATTCATATTTATTAGTTGTACTTAGGGCTGGAAATGAGTCGAGTCGAGTCGAACTCACCTCAGCTCGGCTCGACTCGTTAAGAATTGTTCGAATTCGAGTTCGACACGAACTTTTTTTTAAGCTCAAACTCGACTCGTTATAAGTTCACGAACAGTTCGGTTCAACTCGTTAGGTTCATCTCATTAGGTTCAGCTCACATGGTTCACGAACTTAAAAACTATTTTTTTAAATATATATATTTTTTAGTATATTTGACATTTTAAATAAATATATATTTTTTAAATAAAATATTAAAATAAAATAAAAGTTATCATATTGAAATTTAACTTTATCTTCGAAATCTACTAATTCAAAACCTACACAACTTTCAAGATATACATTTGAGAGTCTAATTCAAAAACTACTAAATTGAAGATTAAATTTGTCTAAGATTTGAAGTAAATATTTAAACCTAATCTTAAAGACAATATAATTTTTTTCATATGTAATCGAGTTGACTCATGAACCTAACGAGTCGAACTATGTATAGTTCAAGTTCAGCTCATTTAGTTAACGAACTTAATTTTTCGCTCATACTCAACTCATTTGGTTCATGAACCTAGTTCAACGATTTAATTGTCGAGTCGAATTCCGAACTATCTTCGAGTTGGTTTGGTTCATTGTCAGCCCTAGTTGTACTATTTTTTTAGCCCCTAAGTTTGTTAGATTGTATTTTAGTATTTTTATCTTATTATAGTAACCCTAGTATTAGCTTATAAATAGGGTAACAATCATTGTAATTTAGTAGTAGTGTGTAGCCGTCATTCTCTTAATAGAATATTTCTTCTTTCATCATTTATTCTACCTTTGCACCAACAATTGGTATCTAGAGCTCCGGTTCAGATTCATTGGAAAACACGGGAAACACGAGTGAACGTGAGGTCTTGTGTGTTTCATTTTGATTCTTAGATTCGTGTTGAATCTTGAACAAAATCTGATCAGAATTTTAATTCTATGGGTTGGGAAACACTGTGTGAGAAATCTGAGTGTATTGTGCAAGGTAGAAGATGAACGGAAACGGCAACATGAACACCAAACTTCCAGTATTTGATGGTAAAAACTGGAACCGTTGGATGATCCAAATGCGTGTACTGTTTGATGCTCAAGATGTTCTAGATCTTGTCACTGATGGTTATGTTCCAGTAGCAGCAAATGCAACAGATGAACAGAAAAACGCGCAGAAGGAAGTAAGGAAGAAGGATCAGAAAGCATTGTTCTTCATTCATCAATGTGTGGACGTAAATGTGTTTGAGAAGATTGCAGATTCAACGACAGCAAAGGCTGCGTGGGACACACTGGTGAGATGTTATGGTGGTGACGCATCAGTGAAGAAGGTAAAGCTTCAGTCCTTGAGAAAGCAATATGAGAATCTCAACATGAAGAGTAATGAGAAAATCTCTGAATACATCTCAAGAATGATTCTGATCACTAATGAGATGAAGGCGTGTGGAGAAACTCTTTCTGAAGAAGCAATCATGGAGAAAGTATTGAGATCCCTTACCCCTCAATTTGACTACATTGTGGTAGCAATAGAACATTCCAAATATATGAGCACCATGAGAATTGAAGAGTTGCAGAGCAGTCTAGAAGCGCAAGAGTTGCGTTTGACTGAGAGAACTTCTGAAAAGGAAGTAGAGCAGCAGGCTCTGAAAGCAACTTCTGATAGGAGGTATCAGAAGCAGTCAGAAGCCAGGAGAAGATCTGATGGTGGTCAGAAGTCAGAAAGCTCAACCTCTGATAGACAAAAGAATGCTCATAAGGGAAAAGAGAAGTATGACAAGAAGAAGATCCAATGTTACTGTTGTAAGAAGTTTGGTCACTTTGCTAGAGATTGTTGGTCAAACAAGGAGAGAAAATCAGAAGAAGCAAATATAGCCAGAAGTTCTGATGACGAATATGTGCTATTGATGGCCTCTGAATATGATAATATGGATCTGATAGACTGGTGGTATATGGACACTAGCTGTTCAAATCATCTTACTGGAAACAAGAAATGGCTGGTTGACTTTGACTCTAAAAAGAGAACAAAGATCAGATGTGCTGATGACAAATATCTTAATGCAAAAGGTATGGGAAATGTCAGAGTGATTCTGAACAATGGGAAAACAGCATTGATTCAGAACGTGTGGTATGTACCTGGCATCAGAAGCAATCTAATGAGTGTGAGACAATTAATTGAGAAAGGATTTTTAGTTACCATGAAGGACAATCTTCTGAAGCTGTATGACTGCAATCAAAAGTTGATTATGGAGTCAGAACAGGGAAGGAATAGAACATTCAAGGTGAATGTCAGAACTGCAGACTCAGAATGTCTTAGTGCAACAAGTGCTGAGGAGGAGAGTGAGTTGTGGCACAGAAGGTTTGGTCATTTGAATTTCAGAAGCTTAAAACATCTGAATTCAAAGAAGTCGGTACATGGAATTCCTGCAATTAAGAAGCCTGAAAATTCATGCAAAGTTTGCATGGAAGGAAAACAACCACGATTGCCATTTGCGTCAGAAGCTGCTCCAAGAGCAAAACATGCCTTGGGAGTTGTACATTCTGATGTGTGTGGTCCATTTCCAGTAGCATCAATTGGAGGGAATAAATACTTTGTGTTGTTTGTTGATGAATTCACAAGAATGACATGGGTATCCCTTATTAAGTTTAAACATGAGGTGTTTGATGAATTCAAGAAGTTCAGAATGAAGGCTGAGAATCAGAGTGGTCAGAAGTTGAAGATTCTTAGAACTGATGATGGAGGTGAGTATAACTCCAAAGAGTTCCAGAAGTTCTGTGAGGAGAATGGAATTGAGCATGAAGTTAATGCTCCTTATACCCCTCAACACAATGGTCTTGCTGAAAGAAGAAACCGCACTTTGCTTGATATGGTGAGAAGCATACTAAAGGAGAAGAAGCTTCCTCAGAAGCTCTAGGGAGAGGCTGTTGCCACTGCAACGTGTGTACTCAACAAATGTCCTACAAAGAAGTTGAAGAAAATAGTTCCAATATAGAAGTGGACTAGAGATAAGCAAAGTGTTAGTCATCTGAAGGTGTTTGGTTCTGTTTGCTATAAACATGTTCCAGAAGCCAGAAGACAGAAGCTGGATGATAGAAGCAAAGTGATGATTCTGATAGGGTACCACAGTACAGGTGCATACAAGTTCTATTGTCCAGAAACCAATAAAATTGAATTCAGCAGAGATGTGATTGTGAAGGAATCAGAAGTTTGGAATTGGGATAAGTCTCAATCTGATTCTGATGTTAGAACTTCTGAAGAAAGGTCAGAGTTAAGAATTCCTGAAGTTGGAGTAAATTCTGACGTTGACCTTGATAGTGATTCAGACTCTGGAGAAGACTCAGAAGATGAAGGTGACTCTGATGATCCAGACTCTGATGACAATCCAGATTTTGGTGGCAATTCAAACTCTGAAGATGGCCAAGGCTCTGGAGGAAGTCAAGCCTCTGAAGCTAGAAATTCTGAAGTTCAAGACTCTGGAAATATGCCAGACCCAGAAGATGGTCAAAGCCCTGGAGGAAGTCAATCATCTGAAGCTCAAGACTCTGAACAAG